GGCTCTCTGCAGGCCCGGCCAGCAGCGGCTGAGGCCCTTCAGCCCCGAGATGCTCCTCGGCGGCGACGCGCGCCCACGGGCGGGAGCTGTGAGCCCAGCGTCCAGGGACGCGCAGGCGTGTCCACTGTCTCAGTGCCTGGGGGTCACGCCAGGTGTGGACCCCGCGTGCTGGCCGGTCACCCGAGGAAGCGTCGGGCACACTGGCCTGCACGGCGCCCGTGGCCAAGGGAGGTCCAGCCGGGGCTCTCTGGCTTGCGGGGGACCCTCCCTCCGCTCTGGTTTGCGGCTGTCGGAGCTCGGGGAGGGCCGGGCTGGAGGGCAGAGGGCGCCCCCGTGGGGCACGGCGAGGTGCCGCCCCGGGGGCACCCAGCAACACTGGTCTGGACCGCGGGGTGCAGGGCCCCGCCTGCGGCCGGGACTGGCCCAGGGAGGCTCTTCCGGCTCCTCAGCCCCTCAGGAGTGGACGGCCGTCACCCCGTCGGGGGAGCAGGGGTGACGCTGCCTCCCCTGCCAGCCGGACCCCAGCAGTCGCAGCTGTCAGTGCCCCGACTGCTCACACACCCCTCGGGCACCACGGAGGTGGTGGAGGGGTGCCCCGGGTCCCTGGGGGGTAGTGGGCAGAGACCAGGCATGGGGGGTCACAGAGGGACCCACATCGGGGGTGTGAGGCCGTCTCGGGTCTTGACTGGCAGAGCGCCGTTCTCCCAGGAGTTCCTCTGAGACCCGGACTCACTTCCGCGAGGTGCCACAGCCACCTCCAGAAGCTCCCCCGGCCCCTCAGCCGAGGACGGGGCCCCCGCGGGGAATGGCTGTGCGGATGGAGGTGCGGGGGAGCGGCAGCACGACGCAGGCGCCCCTCACCGTCCTGGCCCCGCCATGGGGACCCTGGGTCCCGCGCCCTGGTGCTTTCTGCCCACGGGGGAGGCTCTGGGCGCAGCCCCGCCCCCGCCAGGCCCCGCCCTGGCGCCGCCGCCTCCCCTGGCACCCAGAATTCTGTTCGGGCTCTAGGACCCCCACAAGCCACATGGGCAACCGACAGTCAGCGTCCTTTAAGCCTAGGAAGAGTGGACGTCGTAACCGGGGCCGTGTTCCCGCCTGAGGCACAGCCATTGTGTCCCGCGGGGCTGGTCACTCCCTGGCCAGCCCTGTCGTCCCTCGCGCTTTGG